CAGGAAAATCATATAAACTCTGCAGGTTGAAAGTTGATTAACCTTGGAATGCAGAAGGAATTCACCCTTCTATTATGTGGTGAAGGGAAAGACATTCCAGTAAAGTTTTTAACTTCTCCACTTTCACAGCTGAGTTGTGCCATTCTTTCTCCCATTTCCAATAATTCCTGTTTCTTCACCAGCCTTAAATGTCTGGCGAACATTACCAACCTGGGCCCCAAACAGTTCACCCAGGATCCCTCTGTCCCCCGGACACATATGATTAGTGTAGCCCTGCCCTCCACAAAGTGGAGCTGAACCAGGTTGCCCTGCATCTCATCTGCATATAAATTTTCAGAGGATCCCAGGACTTCTAGTGACTAGAACAACCAGTTCCAGTCATGAGTAGGGTACTAATTAGCACACGGATCCTTTGTTGGGGTTGCTGGAGTATACACACATAGAGTTAGGTATTTAACTGGTCAAATAAAGTTCAATCAATTGACCAGTCAAATATTGGTCAATTATAAGAAAAAAAAAAATTTTTTATAAGAAAAAAAAATGTTTCTTATAAAAAATTATAAGAAAAAAATTTGCTAGATCCAAATAATACACAGAAAAAGCACAGATTTTCCATTAAGAAATGGGTACAAACAATTAAAATCTTTTTTTTTTTGTTGTCAAGAAAACTACAAAAAGTAGGGGGTTGTTTTTTTTGTGTAAAATTGCTATATTGTTTAACCAGTTAAAATATGCAGTCAATTAACTGCTCAGTTGACAATATTTGACCAGATCCATAAAAAGCACACAGAAACATTTCAAGCAGCACTTTAAAACTCTTCCAGGTAGACTCAGCTGGGGACAGATAAATAACTACTCATGGGGCACATCCACACCTGCAGGCACGTGTGCTTTCTCAAATAGGAGCAGCACAAATTTGTGCTGGGGATTTTTGTCTCGGTGCATGTGCTTGAACATGCACTTTGGTGTGGGGCAAGTTGTGGCACTTGGGGCAACATGACCCTATCTAGGTCCTTCCGGATCTGCAGCCAAGGAGAGATGGCCCCAGCAGTATAAAAACCTGCCCTGTGTTGGCCCCAACAATATAAAATCCTGCCCTGGCAAGCCGCTCAGGGCTACAGGCTCTGGAGCTTCTGAGGCCCAGCCAGTTGCTATCTGGGGACACAAACCCTTGTGCAGGCTGGACTGCTGAAGCAGCCATAACCTGGAGTGGCCCCTGCACCCTCTACCCACTGCAGCAGTGGGGGCTGCTGCCACCTGTGACAGCATCTGCCCCCTTCAACCTGTAGCCCCATGGCTACATGCCTGCCAGACCCAGATGGGGTGCCCTCAGATGACATGTGGGCAGCTATCAACCAGAAGATATGCTCCTTCCAGTGGCCTGCTTTGATCTGTCAGAGTGTGTCCTCTTGGCCCCAAATGGCCAAGAGGTCAGCCACCTCATCTATCCTCCAGCTGGGTCCCCAGTGCTGACCTTGGACAGGCTGCTCTGCCCAGGCCTCACCACTTGTCTCACCAGCAGAGATCCTGGTGTTCGCTGTTTAAAATTGCAAATATTCTCATAAAGAACCCAAATTCTCTCATTAAAAGACCCCAAATAGTGTTCTGCTATTAAAATGAAATGCCACTGTATAGAGAGATCAGTTGGGGAAAGTTTTATTGATATATTTACAAGTGTAAAGTAATTTGTAGGTGGGGTTGGAGGAGTTTGTGGGTGAGTGTAGGGTGCGTGGGAGTGAGAATTGAGGCAGGGGCTTGTGTGGGGGTTTGAGGCTTGTTCCTTGGTATGTGGGTGAGGGGTTTGTGGAGGTGGCTTGGGGACGTGGGTGTTGTGGGGGGACTGGGTCTGGGGGGCTGGTCAGGAGCGATGTGTCTCCTGCCCCTCCACAGGGTGCAGCACCCCCCACACAGCACACTGACTGCCCCGCCCCACCCCGCCCCCCACAGGACCACAGTTTCCTCCACTGGGCCCTGTGGGCATGGTCCACATGCTCCCCACAGAGCCCACATCTTTCCCCACACCACACACATGCCCCCTCAGGGCACACGCCCCTCCCCCTGTACGGTCCACAGCCACCCTGCAGCAGCAGCAGCAGCCATTGGGGCACTCAGCGCCCTCCTGGCACAGTCAGGTGTGGTCTCTGCAAGCGGTACTGGGCCCTGGGTGATAGCCCACACTGCCCGAAGGTACACAACCCTGCACTGAGCCAGGCCATGCCCACTCAATGTGGCACAGGCAGTGCCGGATACCAAAGCATCACTTTGGTGAACCCCAGCCTCTGGTTGCCTCAGGGCATGGTACAGGACCATGCTTTCCCCTGCTTTTTTTCTGGGGTTTTTTGACACCAGGCTTTTTTTATACCTGTATTTATTAATCCATCTCTTAATACAAAGTAGTAGGAAATGTATCTGTGAAGTTAATGGCCCTTCCTTTTTTTTTTTGTCTTTTTTGACAAATAATTCTTATCCATGAACATTATAAAATTTCATGTATCCATAAACATGCACCACTAACAGACCTAAGAAAGGTCTTTTTCAGTGTTGCTTTATTATTGATATTTTACTACGGCCTCTGGTACATTTTCATGTAAAGGTGCCATGGGACCTGATCCCAACAATTGCACATCCTTCCATGCTACACAGGGGTATGGCATGGGGCATGATTTTGGAATCGGGGGATCAGATCCCAGTTGGACCCTTTCTGTTCCAAGAAATTGAAAAATGAGTGCATGCAGATGGAGGCCTGGGCTGAAAATCAGATGATTATTAGTTGGGTTGGGGCCAAAAGCAAGCTGATTGGTGGCTTCTGCCCCAGCACCACACCAGGGATTCAAGCTCATTCTGGTGCAATCTCAGCCTTACAATCAGTTGGTTTTTGGCTGGGGCCCATACTGCACTGGGACCAGTTCCAGATTCAGTCCCAGTCCCTGGAGACTCCTAGGTTTTGACCTGAACCTAGGACTGTCTGGTGGGAGTCAACAATCAACTAATTGTCAAAACCCCATGCTGGGTAGCTTTGGCCAGGCTGCTGGACACAGGGGATCAGAAGGTCCCAGCCAGAGTTGCTTGATACATGGGGTCTAAATGTAGAATATTTTTATGCCTTATATACCTTATATGGGTATATGTACACCTTAGACTGGGTGTGCATATACCACCCTTGCCATTTAGGCTTCAATTAACACATTAATAATCAAAGCATGAATGTTGGGTATAGAGGGGGCCTAGAGTATTTCAGCTGGAAATAAGAAAGAAAAAAGAAGAAACAAAACATTTCTTACATCTCTCTACTATTCAGTATGTAAATCAGTACCACAGTAGTCTTTCTCCTTGGCGATTATTTAAAGCAGTGACTTTCAGTTGGGCTGCCATAGCACCCTAAGGTGCCTTGAGATCTTTTTAATGGTGCAGCAAGATGCTGCACAGTATTAGCACTATCAGGTCCATAATCATGAATGATAACATGAGCCCAGAGATTTCAAATATAAATCCATAGTGTGAAAAGCATTCTGAACTGCTGTGGTCTTTCTGAGTCCTTTGCAACAGAAAAATTTCTCTATTATATCGCTGTACCCAGAATAAAAGTTAAGAGCTGGCATTCTCGAAGAGGTGCCTTGAATCTAAAAACACTGAGAACCACTGGTCTAAAATACAGATTTAAAATTAATTTAATAAGAATTAATGTAATATTTTTTAGTGTAACCTATGTTTGATCCAAAAGTATCTTTAAGTTTCTCTGTATTTGCAAATGGTGGAAAAACAATGTGATATAGTCATGGCATATTATTATGCATTCAAAATTGAATGGGTTTCATGTCCAGAACTTTCTGAGGCTGCTAGATAGACACATGGCCTAATTATGTAATGAATTTGCTAAATCCCAGGGATGTTTGTAATCAAGGAAACTACACTGATTGTGTCTGCTCAAAGGAACAATAGTCACGCTTCTTTAACTAATAATTATAACCAAGCACTACAAATCATAAGAAACTTGAATTTTTAACCAAAATGCTTAGAGACTGGTTCTATTTTGAAAAAAAGGAAAAAAGGCTGGTGTTTTTAAAAAAAAATTATGCCTGTCTTCCTTACTATTTTGCAATTATCTCCTGGGGAGTCATGGAGAGAATGAATGTGTATACCAGGTATTTTCTATGTTAATTAATATGGGAGAGGATTGAATATCTGTTATATAATTAATATTGTGTGCCTTTTGAAAGTAAGTGTTTAAGCTTTTGAATATGTTTTCTTTTCAACATCTATAAAGTAATGTTATTTAAAGGACTACCTCAAAGCCTATAGAAATCAGTTGTCTCCTACCCTTCAAACATTTATGTATAAGTATTCACATATATGGTGAATTTTGTCATTTGCTTCAAGGAAACTACTTAATCCATAAAATTAAGTATGCCGATAAGGGGTTAAGAATCTATTTATTTCAGTGATTCAAATGCAGCTTAACAGGCTCATAATATTTTTTTTTAATTAGAAAAGTACCTGAAAAGGGTGGCTTTGTTTCTAAAGCATGATTTTGTGTTGATGCACATCTCATGTAACACCATTAAAATTCAGTAAATTTCATGCGACAAAAGTCTAACACACAACTTGATGCAGAAGCAGTCATTTAGAATCTCAGAAATTCTTGTATTCTATAATATACAGGGCATATCAAATTTTATGAAGAGCTGCTCTATAAATTGTAGATACCTTTAAATAGCCATTTTATTGAGGGGGGGAAATGTTGAACATGTCTGAGACTTCCGTATGTGGACAGCTATGAAAATACTGACTGACTGAAATACTAAACTGAAGATTCAAAGTGTCAACTGGATTTTAATATGTTTGTAATTCATAAGTCTGTGTGTATAGCTTCTTTCAATGTAAATATTTTTTCCTGTTTTTATTTTCACAGGACTATACCTTGACAATGTACTTCCAGCAAGCTTGGAGGGATAAGCGGCTATCATACAACGTAATACCTTTAAATCTTACGCTGGACAATAGAGTAGCTGATCAGCTTTGGGTTCCTGATACCTACTTTCTGAATGACAAGAAGTCGTTTGTACATGGGGTCACTGTGAAGAACAGAATGATTCGTTTGCATCCAGATGGGACTGTCCTATATGGTCTGAGGTCAGTATCATCCTTTTAAAACTTTTTTTTTAATAACAGTTTCTGATAGATAAGTATTCTTTTATATTCTTCACTATCATACTTCCTAACAGCTGCAAATGACTTATACTTAAATGTTTAATGATCAATAAAACTGTTAAAATCATTTTGGATAATCTGAGAGAATTCGCTATAATTTTTAGTAAGACTTTACATATTTGTTTTAATAAAAGATGAGTCAATAGAAGCATTTTAAAATAAGATTTCTGCATTAAAAACTTCCTGTCGTTGTTAGAACTACTCCTTAAAGGAGCTAAAATAGAAAAAGAGATAGAGAGAGATCAAATAAAAAAGGAAAATATGTACAATGTCTAAACTGATTGCTAGTCAGATGCTTCATTATTTAAACAACTTTTGAAAGAAGATCCCCAGGAAAAACTAGGAGGTGTCTTAATAAAGGAAAATGTTCATCATATCCATGAGGTACATTTGGATTAGGAAGATTTCTATGTATTTTTTTTTAATATCATTTACATTGATAACTGGATCAGATGTTAAAAGCAAAGCAATGGCAAAGCATGGAATATTTTCACTGTTTCATATGGAGGCTTGACAATTGTGAGGCATGGCCTTTTGTTGTAGTTCATATAGAACAGCATTCCTTCAGACGGCAATATATTACATACCATTCTGCTTACAATGGTTAGAGTGCAGCACACTTTTTATAAACATGTTTCCAAATGTTGTCCTGCCCTTATTGAACAAAGCAAAGATGGAGTATGACTATTAGGACTGTACAAAACAGCACCGGTTTGTTTTGATTTCCGTTTTGCCATTTCAACGGGACATTGTTTTGTTTTGAGTTTTGTCTCGTTTCAAAAGCACTATTCTGTTTCCTTTTTTTCAAAACTGTTTTGCTGTTTCGACGTTTCACCCATAGGCTATAATGGGGAAACACAAAACTGCCTATAACTGTCATTCTTGCTTGATTTGGATGAAACTTGCAAGGATGGTAGCCCCTTCTCAGGCCATGAAGTCTGACAAGTTTCAAGAAGGTAGGTGCAGGGGTTTCTGGAAAACTGCATCTCAAAATTTTGAAAGCAAAACTTATGTCACATGTGTGTGTCAAGGCACAGCAGGGTGAAAACTGCAGGCATGGTAGCCCCACTGGAGTCCATGAAGCCTGACAGCTTTCAAGGAGATAAGTGAGAGGTTTTGGGGAAACTGCACTTCAGGCTGCTGACAAGCAAAACTTGTGGTGTGTGTGTGTGTGTGTGTGTGTGTGTGTGTGTGTGTGTTAAGGAGCAGCAGTTCACCATATATGTGAAAACTGCAGGGATGGTAGCTGCTTCTGAGGCCATGAAGCCTGCCAAGTTTCAAGGAGATAGGTGCAGGGGTTTCTGGGGAACTGTACCTCAAACTGTTCAGAGCAAAACTTGTATCACTTGTAAGTGTGAAGGCACAGAGAAAGCTCAGTTCAAACCATGCTTTTAATGCTGTTTTTCTGTCCCTCCCCCAGAGCACTGGGATTGGAAAGGACCTCAGGGAAGGATCACAGTCACTGGCCAGCTACACATGTCAACATCAGAGCAGTCATTCCCTCCTCATCCCCCTCCCTCTCCTTAGTTTCTCATTAGCTGCAAGCAAGCCCAGGTTCAAAACTTAAAATGTTTAGAAAATTTCAGAATGTTTCGACTACCCTAATTTCATTTTGAAGCTGTTTTGAAGCCTTTCATTTCATTTCAATTTCACTGTTTCGAGCTCGAAACTAGTCGAAACAGCTTCAAAATGAAACAGCCGGTAAAATTTCGCACAGCCCTAATGGCTATGTTTCTACAAAGTCCTTTGGCTTTTTTGTTCTGTGATGTCATTGGTGTCTTTTTTTTTTTTTTCTCCTAGTCCAAGCTATACATGATCAAATGTAGTTACTCTTTCAGGGGTATTCAATGACCTATATGAAGCAAGTTCTTTAGGCCATATCCTATGTATCTCCAATTATTGAGAATCGTAGTTTTTCAGCAAAGTCTCCAAGAATTCAGTAGATATGGAAAGAACTGTGACCTCTTAGAAACTAGTTTGAGGCACATTGAACTATGTAGGATGGTTTATAAGCCAAAATGTCTTTTTTCTATTTGTTTCATTGATAGATGCACTGCGGCTCCTAGCCAGGCTCCATGCAGCAGAATTGCTGCTGTTGTAGCCCTGGGAGGCCCCCAGAATCCCAGGTAAGGTTTCTGGGGCCAACCCACAGCCTTCCCTACCACACCTGGGGTAACTTGCGGCATGCCAGAGAATGCGTGGCACAGTCATTCCCCAGGAACAACTAGAGACATTGCCAGGTGCGCTGCTACCAGTTGTCTCTGGGAAACCAAACATCCACACCATGTGTGGACACTGCCATATTGATTAGTTACTGCACTGTGAATCTAAGAAGAATCAATACAGATAACTAGAAAATAGGCACAGAGCTGCCAAAGTACTTTCAAGTAATATGTGTAATTTGTACAGGTTGATTTATGAAGAGTGCAATTAGAATTTACACTATGAACATGCAAGGAACTCTAAATTGTTTGGACACTAATTACCAAAAGGAAAATTTGCATCAGATTCCTCTTTGTTAAAAATTGTCGTGTCCAAGCTGAACATGTCCAACTGTGGCAGGTCAGAATGACCAGTTTTATTAGTGGTAACACATCGAGCTGTATATATGTTAGGCTATACAATATGCCAGATAACTTAGTCTTGTCCCAAAGAGTTTGAAAGGTGAAATGCTGAACAAATACATTATAACAGGGATGACTCCTGGATTGGACAGGGACTTCCAAAGCTTCCAGGACATGGAGAGAGAGAATGAGCATGTAAATAGGAGATTAATATAGGAAAATCTCTTATATCTTGGTTTAGGGAGGGCTGAACTCACAATATGTTTGGAGGATGATTTGAGTATTTGCAAAGAGAGGCAAGAAGTTGAGTTAGAACAGAGCTTTAAAGAAGCAGAATAGATTGTAAGGAAAAGGTGAGGAGAGACAAAGGAAGGTGGGGTGTGTAGTCAAGTTGAAGGCCATCAGAATTCATTCCTCCTCTTATTTCTTTTGCAATAATGGCTTAAGAGGCAGTACATACAGCCAGTGGTTTGAATGTAGCCTTGTTTAACCAGTTCAAGTGACTTTCTCAATAAAAAAACTACACAGCAAGTTTTTTATTGAGAAAGTTACTGTGTTTTTATTGCTTAGGAATAATTAGGGGAAATACGCATCTTGTCCTTTGCAAAAAAATAAAGGTTTGAGAAAAGCGAACCAGAGGAATGAAAGGGCTATGGGGAAAGAGAGAGATACATTAACAGAATATATGGGGTATGGAGCAAGGAGCACATAAAAGAAAAATGAGAGAAATTAATGTACAGCTTACTAATACAGTATGTATTGTATAGAAAAGTATATGTATAGAATAGTATTTGGGGGACAACTTGATCTTATAGCTGATTTCTAATTGCAGCAGACCTTATTGCAGTCAGTTTATAACTAAAGTTTGTGCCTAACTCATTTTCTCTCTACAGTTGTGTTTATTTATTTAGGCATGCCATTTTAATTATTGACTGGTGGGGATGGGATAAAGAAGCACATTTCTTCTGGATTGCAAGATCCATGTTCAATTTACTGCATAGTCCTGCCTCTTCTTTACTGTCTGAGAAGAGATTAGTATTTCACCAGCCCCCTCCCCCCCACCAAAAAAACCAACAAAAACTAGTATAAGTGCTACAACAAATCATAACAACTAGATATATGTGGTAGAGAATAAAAATGTGACCTACATGAAATACATTCTTAGTGGGGTGGTTATATAAATTGTATCTGTAATTGCAGTGGTGTATGATTTCTAATGAAACATGAAATTGGTAGGAAATTGCATGAAAACTGCAAAGTTCAGTCGTCTTTTTTGCTGACTGGAATCAGAACAATTTATTCTACTGTAGTTGAAGTGCCTTGTTGGAACATTAATGCAAGCTAGGTATTGCCTTGTTAGCTGTTAGAAACAGTTTGCTGTTGGTAGGTTTATAACTACCAATCAGGTGTAAGTTACAGTCAAGTCCAGGTATGCCACTCTTAGTTTCTAATGCACATATATTAAAATTAGTGTGTTTTTTGTTAGTAGTGTGTTTTCTGTATAAGAAAATACTAAGTTGTGCTCTTCACATTCTTAGATGCTTACCTATGTAGTTTTTAATTAGCAGTGTTTTGTGTTTACTGCAGGGGGATGGGGCATCCTTTCTTCTTTCCTTCCTTCCTTTTTTGGTGTAAGTAGAGGTTATTGCTTCTTGGAAATAGCAAAAACTCGAGTCTCTCCATTGCAAAAAAGACAATTAAAATAAAATTGTGTAGTCTCAAACATGAGTTAAATTAGCATTTTCATATCATAGTGGTAATGTAGCAAGATCTTGGATAAGGTTTTGCCAATGTTTTCAATTCAACAAGATACTTTAAACCTTCATATTTATTAGTCTTCCACAAACCAATGATAAACTAAACATAAGATTTGATGTTTTCAGTGTTTATAATTTTTTCATTGCTATTTCTGAGAAAGTACCTTAACTTGATTGCTTAATAAAAACTACAATATTATCCTTTTTAGGAAATGTTTGCACACGATAAGCAAAGGTGTTTGAAAAACGTATTTTGTTTACATGAAAGGGTTCTGAGACAATTCTTCTTCATAAGCTTTTGAAAATAAGTTTGTCCAAGTTCTTCAATTTTCAGATACCAGGCAACAAAATCTTGGCCATTTTTATTTAGTTTTGTTACCAAAAATTAGGTACATTGTAGAGGGTTTTGGCTCACTTTTTTCAAAACGGATGCAATATTTGTAAAAGATATCTATATATAGATATACTTATCAATATATAACACTATATATTGATATATAGCACTATATATTGATGTAGATAGATAGTTATCTATCTATTTATATACACACACATACAATTTTGCAAAAAATAATGTGAATAAAATAATGTGTAATAAGTT